GGCAGCGTATATTTAAGTATATATTTAAGTATATACGCTGCCAAGCTTGGTGGTGCTCATTCAGACGCTGTCTTTCCGACAGCCCTGTTCTTCTGAACACCACCAAGCTTGGCAGCGTATATTTAAGTATATATTTAAGTATATACGCTGCCAAGCTTGGTGGTGCTCATTCAGACGCTGTCTTTCCGACAGCCCTGTTCTTCTGAACACCACCAAGCTTGGCAGCGTATATTTAAGTATATATTTAAGTATATACGCTGCCAAGCTTGGTGGTGCTCATTCAGACGCTGTCTTTCCGACAGCCCTGTTCTTCTGAACACCACCAAGCTTGGCAGCGTATATTTAAGTATATATTTAAGTATATACGCTGCCAAGCTTGGTGGTGCTCATTCAGACGCTGTCTTTCCGACAGCCCTGTTCTTCTGAACACCACCAAGCTTGGCAGCGTATATTTAAGTATATATTTAAGTATATACGCTGCCAAGCTTGGTGGTGCTCATTCAGACGCTGTCTTTCCGACAGCCCTGTTCTTCTGAACACCACCAAGCTTGGCAGCGTATATTTAAGTATATATTTAAGTATATACGCTGCCAAGCTTGGTGGTGCTCATTCAGACGCTGTCTTTCCGACAGCCCTGTTCTTCTGAACACCACCAAGCTTGGCAGCGTATTTTAAGTATATATTTAAGTATATACGCTGCCAAGCTTGGTGGTGCTCATTCAGACGCTGTCTTTCCGACAGCCCTGTTCTTCTGAACACCACCAAGCTTGGCAGCGTATTTTAAGTATATATTTAAGTATATACGCTGCCAAGCTTGGTGGTGCTCATTCAGACGCTGTCTTTCCGACAGCCCTGTTCTTCTGAACACCACCAAGCTTGGCAGCGTATTTTAAGTATATATTTAAGTATATACGCTGCCAAGCTTGGTGGTGCTCATTCAGACGCTGTCTTTCCGACAGCCCTGTTCTTCTGAACACCACCAAGCTTGGCAGCGTATATTTAAGTATATATTTAAGTATATACGCTGCCAAGCTTGGTGGTGCTCATTCAGACGCTGTCTTTCCGACAGCCCTGTTCTTCTGAACACCACCAAGCTTGGCAGCGTATTTTAAGTATATATTTAAGTATATACGCTGCCAAGCTTGGTGGTGCTCATTCAGACGCTGTCTTTCCGACAGCCCTGTTCTTCTGAACACCACCAAGCTTGGCAGCGTATTTTTAAGTATATATTTAAGTATATACGCTGCCAAGCTTGGTGGTGCTCATTCAGACGCTGTCTTTCCGACAGCCCTGTTCTTCTGAACACCACCAAGCTTGGCAGCGTATTTTTAAGTATATATTTAAGTATATACGCTGCCAAGCTTGGTGGTGCTCATTCAGACGCTGTCTTTCCGACAGCCCTGTTCTTCTGAACACCACCAAGCTTGGCAGCGTATATTTAAGTATATATTTAAGTATATACGCTGTCAAGCTTGGTGGTGCTCATTCAGACGCTGTCTTTCCGACAGCCCTGTTCTTCTGAACACCACCAAGCTTGGCAGCGTATTTTAAGTATATATTTAAGTATATACGCTGCCAAGCTTGGTGGTGCTCATTCAGACGCTGTCTTTCCGACAGCCCTGTTCTTCTGAACACCACCAAGCTTGGCAGCGTATTTTTAAGTATATATTTAAGTATATACGCTGCCAAGCTTGGTGGTGCTCATTCAGACGCTGTCTTTTCCGACAGCCCTGTTCTTCTGAACACCACCAAGCTTGGCAGCGTATTTTTAAGTATATATTTAAGTATATACGCTGCCAAGCTTGGTGGTGCTCATTCAGACGCTGTCTTTCCGACAGCACTGTTCTTCTGAACACCACCAAGCTTGGCAGCGTATTTTTAAGTATATATTTAAGTATATACGCTGCCAAGCTTGGTGGTGCTCATTCAGACGCTGTCTTTCCGACAGCCCTGTTCTTCTGAACACCACCAAGCTTGGCAGCGTATTTTTAAGTATATATTTAAGTATATACGCTGCCAAGCTTGGTGGTGCTCATTCAGACGCTGTCTTTCTGACAGACCTGTTCTTCTGAACACCACCAAGCTTGGCAGCGTATATTTAAGTATATACGCTGCCAAGCATGGTGGTGCTCATTCAGACGCTGTCTTTCCGACAGCCCTGTTCTTCTGAACACCACCAAGCTTGGCAGCGTATATTTAAGTATATACGCTGCCAAGCATGGTGGTGCTCATTCAGACGCTGTCTTTCCGACAGCCCTGTTCTTCTGAACACCACCAAGCTTGGCAGCGTATTTTAAGTATATATTTAAGTATATACGCTGCCAAGCTTGGTGGTGCTCATTCAGACGCTGTCTTTCCGACCGACCTGTTCTTCTGAACAACACCAAGCTTGGCAGCGTATATTTAAGTATATATTTAAGTATATACGCTGCCAAGCTTGGTGGTGTTCATTCAGACGCTGTCTTTCCGACAGCCCTGTTCTTCTGAACACCACCAAGCTTGGCAGCGATATTTTAAGTATATATTTAAGTATATACGCTGCCAAGCTTGGTGGTGCTCATTCAGACGCTGTCTTTCCGACAGCCCTGTTCTTCTGAACACCACCAAGCTTGGCAGCGTATTTTTAAGTATATATTTAAGTATATACGCTGCCAAGCTTGGTGGTGCTCATTCAGACGCTGTCTTTCCGACAGCCCTGTTCTTCTGAACACCACCAAGCTTGGCAGCGTATTTTTAAGTATATATTTAAGTATATACGCTGCCAAGCTTGGTGGTGCTCATTCAGACGCTGTCTTTCCGACAGCCCTGTTCTTCTGAACACCACCAAGCTTGGCAGCGTATTTTTAAGTATATATTTAAGTATATACGCTGTCAAGCTTGGTGGTGCTCATTCAGACGCTGTCTTTCCGACAGCCCTGTTCTTCTGAACACCACCAAGCTTGGCAGCGTATTTTTAAGTATATATTTAAGTATATACGCTGTCAAGCTTGGTGGTGCTCATTCAGACGCTGTCTTTCCGACAGCCCTGTTCTTCTGAACACCACCAAGCTTGGCAGCGTATTTTTAAGTATATATTTAAGTATATACGCTGCCAAGCTTGGTGGTGCTCATTCAGACGCTGTCTTTCCAACAGACCTGTTCTTCTGAACAACACCAAGCTTGGCAGCGTATATTTAAGTATATATTTAAGTATATACGCTGCCAAGCTTGGTGGTGTTTCATTCAGACGCTGTCTTTCCGACAGCCCTGTTCTTCTGAACACCACCAAGCTTGGCAGCGTATTTTTAAGTATATATTTAAGTATATACGCTGCCAAGCTTGGTGGTGCTCATTCAGACGCTGTCTTTCCGACAGCCCTGTTCTTCTGAACACCACCAAGCTTGGCAGCGTATTTTTAAGTATATATTTAAGTATATACGCTGCCAAGCTTGGTGGTGCTCATTCAGACGCTGTCTTTCCGACAGCCCTGTTCTTCTGAACACCACCAAGCTTGGCAGCGTATTTTTAAGTATATATTTAAGTATATACGCTGCCAAGCTTGGTGGTGCTCATTCAGACGCTGTCTTTCCGACAGCCCTGTTCTTCTGAACACCACCAAGCTTGGCAGCGTATTTTTAAGTATATATTTAAGTATATACGCTGTCAAGCTTGGTGGTGCTCATTCAGACGCTGTCTTTCCGACAGACCTGTTCTTCTGTGTGCCTATGTATGTGTCTCTATGTATCTCTGTGATATCTGTCTCCGCTTATATGTCTGTCTATATGTCTCTGGTTCTGTGTTTTATCTCTCAAATTTTGCATTCTCAGGAAGAACGTAATCAACCAGGTAGGGCGTTGACTGTTATGTTATCCGACTCTCTGTTGTATTACATTACATGTCTAAGTATTACTAGATTTGTGTTTCTATTTCATTTATACCTGATGACGATTGCTTGTGTTACAATCAAAACTTTGGCGTGTGCTAGTATTTAATCTTTATTTTGAAGCTTTCGTGACTGCAGGAATTATTCTTTGGTTCTTTCGGTAAAGTCACGTATAAAGATAAAATAATAAATTAAATAATAGCATACTACGACGTTTCGATTGCAACACAAGCAATCATCATCAGGTATAAAAGAAATAGCAACAAAAATCGAACCTGTCTGCTTATATGTCTGTCTATAGCTTTCTGGTTAGATTTTTGTTGCTATTTCTTTTATACCTGATGACGATTGCTTGTGTTGCAATCGAAACGTCGTAGTATGCTAGTATTTAATTTATTATTTTATCCTTATACGTGACTTTACCGAAAGAACCACAGAGTTTACATCCACGATTTTTAAATCCTTTATATTAAGTTCGCTTGCTTGCTTGCTTAAGACCGTGCAAATCTTTCGGTCGTTTTTTAACCCACTTCCCGTGATCCAATCGAGCTGACATTTTCCACACAGACTCGTTGTGCGTGACAATTAATGTTCGTGAAAAAAATTTCCAAAATTTTACACTTTTTAGGACAAAAATATCATATTTAATTACCAATTGCTTAATTCTGCCATGCAATCATCTGACCCATAGGTGGCAGCCATCTCAAGCCAGAGGACGAGAGGACTCTAGCCGCCACGCATATAACGGATTTATAGTGAAAAACTTTGTTTTTACTGGTTATACTTTTATTAAGTTCACTTGCTTGCTTGCTTAGGACCGTGCAAATCTTTCGGTCGTTTTTTAACCCACTTCCCGTGATCCAATCGAGTTGACATTTTCCACACAGACTCGTTGTACGTGACAATTAATGTTAGTGAAAAAATTTTCCAAAATTTTACACTTTTTAAAACAAAAATATAATATTTAATTACCAATTGCTTAATGCTGCCATGCAATCATCTGACCCACAGGTGGCAGCCATCTCAAAGCCAGAGGACGAGAGGACTCTAGCCGCCACGCATACAAAGGTTTTAGAGTGAAACACTTTGTTTTTACGGGTAACACTTGTTTAACGTCAATTTTCTTTCTGTGCCACAGCGAACGAAGCCCACATCGTGGTGGTGGAGGAGGAGACGGAGGCGGCCGTCCAGGGCAACAAGGACGAACTCAAGGCGTGGATCGCCCTGGACCCCTCGCTGCTGCTTGACGAGATCGACAGCAAGTGGTACGCCCAGCGCTCGTTCTACATCACGGCCAAGAACATGGAGAGCAAGGACGAGTGCGCCGCCTACATCCTCGACCATTTCATCGACGGGGAGGCGGGCTACCAGAAGCTGCTGGTGGCTCTGAGGGCCGTGCAAGACCACTACCCTCAGCAGTTGTGCGTGTGGCTGGACAACCTCGGTAAGTTCTACATTTCACTTGATGCAGCAAATCTGGCTGTGACGGTCCCACCTGATGACGGAGACTTGTGTTGCCTCCGAAACGTCGTGATTTTTTTTATTTTTTTATTAATTTTAATTTCAATTTTTTACCTACGTTACTTTACCGACAAAACTAAGATTATGAACGTTGGTAAGCAGCGTGGTGGCTAGGAGATGTTGGGGACCTCGTCTGGTGTGCAAGAGGTCGTGGGTTCGATCCCGACCCTGACGCAATGGTGGCTAGGTAGATGTTGACTACCTCGCGTGGTATGCAGGAGGTCGTGGGTTTGACCCCGACCCTGAGGCCGTGGTGGCTAGGTAGATGTTGACTACCTCGCCTGGTGTGCAGGAGGTCGTGGGTTCAACCCCGACCCTGACACCATGGTGGCTAGGTAGATGTTGACTACCTCGCCTGGTATGCGGGAGGTCAGAGGTTGGATCCCGACCCTGAGGCCATGGTGGCTAGGTAGATGTTGACTACCTCGCCTGGTATGCAGGAGGTCGTGGGTTCAACCCCGACCCTGACACCATGGTGGCTAGGTAGATGTTGACTACCTCGCCTGGTATGCAGGAGGTCGTGGGTTCGACCCCGACCCTGATGCCATGGTGGCTAGGTAGATGTTGACTACCTCGCCTGGTATGCAGGAGGTCGTGGGTTCAACCCCGACCCTGACACCATTGTGGCTAGGTAGATGTTGACTACCTCGCCTGGTGTGCAGGAGGTCGTGGGTTTGACCCCGACCCTGACACCATTGTGGCTAGGTAGATGTTGACTGCCTCGCCTGGTGTGCAGGAGGTCAGAGGTTTGACCCCGACCCTGACACCATAGTGGTTAGGTAGATGTTGACTACCTCGCCTGGTGTGCAGGAGGTCGTGGGTTCGATCCCGACCCTGACACCATGGTGGCTAGGAGATGTTGACTACCTCTCCTGGTGTGCAGGAGCTCGTGGGTGGGGAGGGTGGGGGCCTCAGGGTCGGGATTGAACCCACGACCTCCTGCATACCAGGCGAGGTAGTCAACATCTACCTAACCACCATGGCGTCAGGAACTTACCTTTGACTTGACTTGCTATAACAGAACTCTTTGGGTCTTTCGGTAAAGTCACGTAGAGAGAAAATAAATTAAAGAATAGAGTACGACATTTCGATTGCAACACAAGCAGCTGTCATCAACATAGACATGTGTGTCTATGTTGTGTGTCTATGTGTGTGTGTCTATGTCTGTGTGTCTCTCTCTGTGTGTCTGTGTTGTGTGTCTCTCTGTGTGTCTCTCTCTCTCTGTGTCTCTGTATGTGTCTATGTTGTGTTTCTGTGTTGTGTGTCTGTGTTGTGTGTCTCTCTCTGTGTGTCTCTGTGTGTGTCTCTCTCTGTGTGTGTCTATGTTGTGTGTCTGTCTGTGTGTCTATGTTGTGTGTCTCTCTCTGTGTGTCTCTGTTGTGTGTCTCTCTCTCTGTGTGTCTCTCTCTCTGTGTCTCTCTCTGTGTGTCTCTCTGTGTCTCTCTCTGTGTGTCTGTGTTGTTTGTCTCTCTCTGTGTGTCTATGTTGTGTGTCTCTCTCTGTGTGTCTCTGTGTGTGTCTCTCTCTGTGTGTCTATGTTGTTTGTCTCTCTCTCTGTGTCTATGTTGTGTGTCTCTCTCTGTGTGTCTCTGTGTGTGTCTCTCTCTGTGTGTCTATGTTGTTTGTCTCTCTCTCTGTGTCTATGTTGTGTGTGTCTCTCTGTGTGTCGCTGTTGTGTCTCTCTCTCTGTGTTTTTCTGCTTGTGTCTCTCTCTGTGTGTCTCTGTTGTGTGTGTCTCTCTGTGTGTCTGTGTTGTGTGTGTCTCTCTGTGTGTCTGTGTTGTGTGTCTCTCTCTGTGTGTCTCTGTTGTGTGTCTCTCTTTGTGTGTCTCTGGTGTGTGTGTCTCTGTTGTGTGTCTCTCTCTGTGTGTCTGTGTTGTGTGTGTCTCTCTGTGTGTCTCTGTTGTGTGTGTCTCTCTGTGTGTCTCTGTTGTGTGTCTCTCTCTGTGTGTCTGTGTTGTGTGTCTCTCTCTGTGTTTCTCTGTGTGTGTCTCTCTTTGTGTGTCTCTGGTGTGTGTGTCTCTGTTGTGTGTGTCTCTCTGTGTGTCTGTGTTGTGTGTGTCTCTCTGTGTGTCTGTGTTGTGTGTCTCTCTCTGTGTGTCTCTGTTGTGTGTCTCTCTTTGTGTGTCTCTGGTATGTGTGTCTCTGTTGTGTGTCTCTCTCTGTGTCTGTGTTGTGTGTGTCTCTCTGTGTCTCTGTTGTGTGTGTCTCTCTGTGTGTCTCTGTTGTGTGTCTCTCTCTGTGTGTCTGTGTTGTGTGTCTCTCTCTGTGTTTCTCTGTGTGTCTCTCTTTGTGTGTCTCTGGTGTGTGTGTCTCTGTTGTGTGTCTCTCTCTGTGTGTCTGTATTGTGTGTGTCTCTCTGTGTGTCTCTGTTGTGTGTCTCTCTCTGTGTGTCTCTGTGTGTGTCTCTCTTTGTGTGTCTCTGTTGTGTGTGTCTCTTTGTGTGTCTGTGTTGTGTGTCTCTCTCTGTGTGTCTGTGTTGTGTGTCTCTCTCTGTGTGTCTGTGTTGTGTGTCTCTCTCTGTGTGTCTCTGTGTGTGTCTCTCTTTGTGTGTCTCTGTTGTGTGTGTCTCTTTGTGTGTCTGTGTTGTGTGTCTCTCTCTGTGTGTCTGTGTTGTGTGTGTCTCTCTGTGTGTCTGTGTTGTGTGTCTCTCTCTGTGTGTCTCTGTGTGTGTCTCTCTTTGTGTGTCTCTGTTGTGTGTGTCTCTCTGTGTGTATCTCTCTGCTTGTGTCTCTCTCTGTGTGTCTGTGTTGTGTGTCTCTCTCTTTCTCTGTGTCTGTTGTGTGTCTCTCTCTGTGTGTCTCTGTGTTGTCTCTCTCTGTGTGTCTGTGTGTCTCTGTGTTGTCTCTCTCTGTGTGTCTCTGTGTGTCTCTGTGTTTGTCTCTCTGTGTGTCTCTGTGTGTGTCTCTCTCTCTCTCTGTGTGTCTATGTTGTGTGTCTCTCTCTGTGTGTCTGTGTTGTGTGTCTCTCTCTGTGTGTCTGTGTTGTGTGTGTCTCTCTGTGTGTCTCTGTTGTGTGTCTCTCTCTGTGTGTCTGTGTTGTGTGTCTCTCTCTGTGTGTCTCTGTGTGTGTCTCTCTGTGTGTATCTCTCTGCTTGTGTCTCTCTGTGTGTGTCTGTGTTGTGTGTCTCTCTCTCTCTGTGTCTGTTGTGTGTCTCTCTCTGTGTGTCTCTGTGTTGTCTCTCTCTGTGTGTCTGTGTGTCTCTGTGTTGTCTCTCTGTGTGTCTCTGTGTTTGTCTCTCTGTGTGTCTCTGTGTGTCTCTCTCTCTGTGTGTCTATGTTGTGTCTCTCTCTCTGTGTCTGTGTTGTTTGTCTCTCTCTGTGTCTCTGCTTGTGTCTCTCTCTGTGTGTCTGTGTTGTGTGTGTCTCTCTGTGTGTCTATGTTGTGTGTCTCTCTCTGTGTGTCTATGTTGTGTGTCTCTCTCTGTATGTCTCTATCTGTGTGTCTATGTTGTGTGTTTATGTTATGTGTCTCTCTCTCTGTGTGTCTGTGTGTCTCTCTCTGTGTGTCTCTGTGTGTCTCTGTGTTGTCTCTCTCTGTGTGTCTCTGTGTTTGTCTCTCTGTGTGTCTCTGTGTGTCTCTCTCTCTCTGTGTGTCTATCTCTGTGTGTGTCTATGTTGTCTCTCTGCTTGTGTGTCTGTCTGTGTGTCTCTCTCTCTGTGTCTGTGTTGTGTCTCTCTCTGTGTGTCTGTGTTGTGTGTCTCTGTGTGTGTCTCTCTATGTGTGTCTATGTTGTGTGTCTCTCTGTGTCTCTGTGTGTGTCTCTCTCTGTGTGTCTCTGTGTGTGTCTCTCTCTGTGTGTCTATGTTGTGTGTGTCTTTCTGTGTGTCTGTGTGTGTGTCTCTCTGTGTGTCTCTGTGTGTGTCTCTCTCTGTGTGTCTATGTTGTGTGTGTCTCTCTGTGTGTCTCTGTGTGTGTGTGTCTCTCTGTGTGTCTCTGTGTGTGTCTCTCTCTGTGTGTCTGTGTTGTGTCTTTCTCTGCTTGTGTGTCTGTCTGTGTGTCTCCGTGTCTGTGTTTTGTCTCTCTCTCAAATTGAGTTCTACCTGATGACGCTTGCTTGCGTTGCAATCGAAACGTCTTACTCTCTTATCTGATTTTCGTTCTACGCCACATCACCGAAAGACCCAAAGAGCAATTTCCTGCAAGTCACGAAAGCTACAAATCCAGTTTGCTACAACAGCATCTTCTTGGTTCTTTCGGTAAAGTCACCACGTAGAAGGGAAGTGATAAAATAATAAAAATAAAACACAATAGAATAATTCTCACGACGTTTCGGCCACAACGCAAGCAGCCGTCCTCAGGTGAAGAATGAAACACCACCAAGCTTGGAGCGTCTATTTAAGCTGGGTTGGAGGGGGGGAGAAGAGCGCCTTGACAAAATAATTTGCATATCAAGAGGAATTTAGCATATTTATGGGAAATGCGTAGGAGGAGTTTCAAAGTCATATTATGCCCGTGCATTATGCAGGATTAGCAGCATCAAAGGGAGGGGGGGTGGAGGTTGCAACAAGTCTCCTGCCGCTGTGTTGATCGCGAAATGTTTTGCCTCTCGCCCCGTTTCCTTGCGACGTTCTCTGATGCAGGGTCGTCAAAGATCCAGACGACTCGAGGTGGAAGCCAGTCAAGCCACTCAAGTGTGGATTGCCCCGTCACTGTTGAGTTTTCATAACTGAGATAATATCAGCAATGGTGGCTACACAATTAAGTGCCCGTCAACTTTCATCATAGCCAGCCACACAAACTGCTGGATGAAGGCCTCCTCGTGCACTCTACATCGCTCATGGTTCCTGTAGCTTCTGATCACACAGCTCCATCTCTCTGAGGTGGACATCACCTTGTCCGTGTTTCCTGATTTTCGATGCCAATGCGATCTTGAAATTACTCCAAAATTGGTATTGGGAGCCACTGAAGGGATTGGAATCTTTAGGGTGATGTAGTCTCTTGAACGGGTGCGGAGTTTGGCGAGATGTTAACTGCCTCGCCTGGTGTGCAGGAGGTCGTGGGTTTGATCCTGACCCTGATGCCTGCTGCTGCTGCTGTATATTTGGAGTTTGCGTGTCTCTCATCATCATCATCATCACGGTGGCTAGATGTTAACTGCCTCGCCTGGTGTGCAGGAGGTCGTGGGTTTGATCCTGACCCTGATGCCTGCTGCTGCTGCTGTATATTTGGAGTTTGCGTGTCTCTCATCATCATCATCACGGTGGCTAGATGTTAACTGCCTCGCCTGGTGTGCAGGAGGTCGTGGGTTCGATCCTGACCCTGATGCCTGCCGCTGTACATTTGGAGTTTGTGGTGACTCTCTGCCAGTGGTGGTTGCGCAGATTTCTCTCCCTCTGCGGATCTATGGGTCTCTCTGAATATTGGTCTCTCGTCGCTGCAAACAAACGAAGATGGCAGCGACGATGGCAACGAGACGACAGCTACGACGAGACGATCCAATTCCCAACCCAATCTCGGCCCCCTTTTATGCTAACAGCGTGGCCTGGCTCTGCCCTGACCGCACCTCCTTTAAATTTCGATTTAAAGCTTTCGTGACTGCAGGGATTCATCTTCTTGGTTCTTTTGGTAAAGTCACGTAGAAGGGAAGTAATAAAATAATACAAATTAAACATAATAAAATAATTCTCACGACGTTTCGGCCACAACGCAAGCAGCCGTCCTCAGGTGAAGAACAGGTCTGTCGGAAAGACAGCGTCTGAATGAAACACCACCAGGCTTGGCAGCGTATATGTTTCATTCAGACGCTGTCTCCCCGACAGACCTGGTCTTCACCTGAGGACGGCTGCTTGCGTTGTGGCCGAAACGTCGTGAGAATTATTTTATGTTTTATTTTTATTATTTTATTACTTCCCTTCTACGTGATGACTTTACCGAAAGAACCAAGAAGACGCACCTCCTTTCTCGAACCCGCTAGCAGGTACCAGGGGATCGCGAATGGGCCTTCTGTGACCCTTGGCCAAATTCCTCCGCCCTGCCGACACACACACCGTGTATATGCTCACCGGCGTGTGCCCTGTTTGTACACCGCAGTTGCCGCTGATGGTCACCAGCCGGCGCTATTACACTACGTACGTTTGAGCTTCTTTCGCATTGTTTAGCCTTTTTGTTTTCTGTCAATTTCATAAAATTTTTGGTGTGAATTTCAGCATAAGCTACTTCTCGTCCAAAGCTGACTTTGTGCGCAGACCGGTATGCATGAGTGGTAGGATGCCATTTAAAATGCATACCATAAATTGAAGTTCCAGCTTTTGTGTGTGTATGTTGAACTACCATTGGAACCTCATTTGCCAGTAAAAAATATAATTGTTTTTTTACCCTTCTATCTGGCAACAAAACTGACACCTTTTTTTACAAGGAGTCATGTTTGCATTGACCGCAATACCTGCAGTCATAATGCAAACAAAAACATAACTCTGATAATGTATGCACTGTCCTTGAAGTTGATTGGTCCACACCCGAGACAGCTTTCCTTAGAGCCTAGTCTCACATGGTGTTGGACCAGATGACGCCAAAAGGCGCACAACTCAAAGACAGCGCACTATCAGAGTATGAGAGCTCGGGGTAGGCATTTACACCATTGGAATCTCATTTGTCAGAAGAAAAAAATGATAATTGTTTTTTTACCCTTCTATCTGGCAACAAAACTGACACCTTTTGTTTGCATTATGACTGCATGTATTGTGGTCTATGCAAACATGACTCCTCGTAAAAAAAGGTGTCAGTTTTGTTGCCAGATAAAAGGGTAAAAAACCAATTATCATTTTTTTCTATTGGCAAATGAGGTTCCAATGGTGTAAATGCTTCACCCCGAGCTCTCATACTCTGATGGTGCATTGTCTTTGAGTTGTGCGCCTTTTGGCGTCATCTGGTCCAACACCATGTGAGACTAGGCTCTAAGGAAAGCTGTCTCGGGTGTGGACCAATCAACTTCAAGGACCATGTGAGACTAGGCTCTAAGGAAAGCTGTCTCGGGTGTGGACCAATCAACATCAAGGACAGTGCATATATTATCAGAGTTATGTTTTTTGTTTGCATTATGACCGCAGGTATTGTGGTCAATGCAAACATGACTCCTCGTAAAAAAGGTGTCAGTTTTGTTGCCAGATAAAAGGGTAAAAAAACAATTATCATTTTTTTTTCTACTGGCAAATGAGGTTCCAATGGTGTAAATAATTTTTTTTGTCTCTTTACCTGTTTATGCACGCCAATTTTTTTCTTTTTCGTAAATAAATTTCAAACACCAAAAACACGCACTACCCCTAAAAAAACATGCTATACAAGAATGTACAAACATAAGCTATTTTAAACAATGATTGTGAGATTATTACGTTTTTGAAAATTTTCCGAGCCCTTCCCACACCCCTATGCTGCTGGATGACACTGGTCAACACACTTTGTCTGGCATAAGGTAATTCCAACGGGTTTAAGAATGGAAATAATAAAAGAATAAAAAATAAAACATAGTAAAATAAAATAATATTTTTATTATTTTATTATTTCCATTCTACGTGATGACTTTACCTAAAGAACCAAGAAGATGAATCCCTGCAGTCACGAAAGCTTTAAATCAAGATGACACTGGTCAACACACTTTGTTCTGGCACAAGGTATTCCAACGGTTTCAAGGTAATTTTGTGGGGTGCTGATTCCAAATCTGGCATCAGTTTTTGTCTATCGCATCTGGTTTTTGAGATATCAAATATTGCATTTTCAATAAAAACTGCGGAAGAAAAATATGAAATAAATGTGGATATCTACATAAAATGATGATATTATAAACACACTATCCTAAAAATACAGCACCGTATTTTAACACTAAAGCAGTCACTGACTCGCAACAAGTTGCAATCATAAGTGACGGACTTAATTTCGGGTAAAATCAATGAAAATGGGGTATGCCGATAGCATAAAAATGAGATGTGATGGAGCAAATCTGAGATCAGATTTGGAATCGGCACCCTGAAATTAGTCGAGAACAGCTGCAAAAGTCCAGGAAACATGCTTTTTTTGTTACCTGTCTTATCGATTATCGATCATTTCACACAGTAGAGGCGTTGTTGTTGTATGCTCAAATCTTGTAACTCAATTTTAACCCACTTCCCAATGTGTATCGACTGGAAACTTGGTATACTGATGTCTTAGTGATGACAACACCGTATTCTATCATAAAAATAAATAGAATATATTTTTAAACAATATTTTTTACACGCTTTTGATAAACTCACTTTGTCTGTTGTTGTTGTAACCTCAAATATTGTAACTCAATTTTAACCCACTTCCCAATGTGGTATCGACTGGAAACTTGGTATACTGATGTCATACTGATGACAATACCATATTCTATAATAAAAATAAATAGAATATATATTTAAACAATATTTTTTACACGCTTTTGATAAACTCACTTTGTTGTTGTTGTATCCTCAAATTTTGCAACTCAATGTTTCACCCACTTCCCAAGTGGGTTACTTACGTCACACTGATGACGTTCTACCATAAAATAATCAAAAACATATTTTTAAAAACATTCTTTTACACGCTTTGATAAACTCACTCTGTCTGTTGTTGTATCTTCAAATCTTGTAACTCAATTTTAACCCACTTCTCAATGTGGTATCGACTGGAAACTTGGTATACTGATGTCTTACTGATGACAATACTATATTCTGTCATTAAAAATAAAATAGAATATATTTTTAAACAATATCTTTTACACGCTTTTGATAAACTCACTTTGTCTGTTGTTGTTGTATGCTCAAATCTTGTAACTCAATGTTTCACCCACTTCACAAGTGGGTTACTTACATCATACTGATGATGTTCTACCATAAAATAATCAAAAACATATTTTTAAAAACATTATTTTAAACGCTTTCTATCAACTCACTCTGTCTGTTGTTGTTTTAGCCTCAAATCTTGTAACTTAATTTCAACCCACTTCCCAATGTGGTATCGACTGGACACTTGGTATACTTTTGTCTTACTGATGACAAGACTGTATTCTATCATAAAAAGAATAGAATATTTTTTTAACAATATTTTACACGCTTTCTATTAACTCACTTTGTCTGTTGTTGTTGTATCTTCAAATCTTGTAACTCAATTTTAACCCACTTCCCAATGTGGTATCGACTGGAAACTTGGTATACTCATGTCATACTGATGACAATACCATATTCTATCATGAAAATAAATATAATATATTTGTAAACAATATTTTCACACGCTTTCTATAAACGCACTTTGTCTGTTGTTGTTGTATCCTCAAATCTTGCAACTCAATGTTTCACCCACTTCCCAAGTGGGTTACTTACGTCATACTGATGACGTTCTACCATAAAATAATCTAAAACATATTTTTAAAAACATTATTTTACACGTTTTTGATAAACTCACTCTGTTGTTGTTGTATCTTCAAATCTTGTAACTCAATTTTAACCCACTTCCCAATATGGTATCGACTGGAAACTTGGTATACTAATGTCATACTAATGACAATACTGTATTCTGTCATAAAAATGAATAGAATATATTTTTAAACAATATTTTTACACGCTTTCTATTAATTCACTGTCTGTTGTTGTTGTATCCTCGAATCTTGTAAGTTAATTTTAACCCACTTTCCAATGTGGTATCGACTGGAAACTTGGTATACTTTTGTCTTACCGATGACAATACTGTATTGTCATAAAAAATAAAAATACAATTTTTTGAAACCATCTGTTTCATATGTTATGTTTCAAACTTAATTTGGAGCTTTCGTGACTGCAGGAATTATTCTTTGGTTCTTTCGGTAAAGTGACGTATGAAGATAAAATAATAAATTAAATTAAATACTAGCATACGACGTTTCGATTGCAACACAAGCAAATCATCATCAGGTATAAATTAAATAGAAACACAAATCTAGTACACTTAGAAATGTATTACATTACATGTCTAAGTATACTAGATTTGTGTTTCTATTTAATGTTATGTTTCGGTAATGGCAAAACTCCACTTCCTGGAGTCGTGGAGTTTTGCCATTAATAGTACAGTACATTTCATTAAAGCGCGTTTTTTAAAAAGTACTTTTAAATATGACTTCTTTTTAAATCCTTTATATTAAGTTCACGTGCTTGCTTGCTTGCTTAGGACCGTGCAAATCTTTCGGTCGTTTTTTAACCCACTTCCCGTGATCCAATCTAGCTGATATTTTGCACACAGACTCGTTGTGCGTGACAATTTATGTTCGTGAAAAAATGTTTTCCAAAATTTTACACTGTTTAGGGAAAACAAATTAAATATTTAATTACCAATTGCTTAATACTGGCAGACAATCATCTGACCCATAGGTGGCAGCCATCTCAAGCCAGAGGACGAGAGGACTCGAGCCGCCACGCATATAAAGGATTTATAGTGAAAAACTTTGTTTTTACGGGTTAATTTTTCTATCACTACATGACAGACGCTGCACGTACCACAAAGTCAAGAGGAAGTGATTCAAATGGTGGCTCTGAATCGTCTACAAACGAGAGACATGCAGAGGGGGAGCCTATCGTTGCTGGTATCTTACACGGCGTCATGGTGACCTCCAGCAGAGGTCAATTATATTACTAAACTCGCTGTAATACCGGGACTTGTATTAACCACGCCGGGCCGCCTTTGTCTCCCCAGTGGCGATATTCACCACGCACCACAGCAGTTACTCGTTTTGAGGCTGAGTCGACCTAGGGGAGGCCCAAGGAGCGGTTGTGGTGGTGGGGGTGGTGGTGGTGGTGGTGGGGGTGGTGGGGGTGGTGGTGGTGGTGGTGGGGGTGGTGGGGGTGGTGGTGGTGGTGGGGTGGTGGGGGTGGTGGTGGTGGTGGGGTGGTGGGGTGGTGGTGGGGGTGGTGGGGTGGTGGGGGGTGGTGGTGGGGGTGGTGGTGTGGTGGCAGTGGGGTGGTGGTGGTGGTTTTAACGAGACTTGAATGTTTACACGATCTCACCCAAACACAAAACACCTTTATTATGGATCACATTGGTCGTAAAAGTCTACGCGTTACACGGAGGTGGTGGTGCTGGTGTGCTGGTGGTGCTGGTGGTGGTAGAGATGGTGATGGTGGTTGTGGTGGTGGTAGAGATGGTGATGGTGGTTGTGGTGGTGGTAGAGATGGTGATGGTGGTTGTGGTGGTGGTAGAGATGGTGATGGTGGTTGTGGTGGTGGTAGAGATGGTGATGGTGGTTGTGGTGGTGGTAGAGATGGTGGTTGTGGTGGGTGGTAGAGATGGTGATGGTGGTTGTGGGTGGTGGTAGAGATGGTGATGTGGTTGTGGTGGTGGTAGAGATGGTGATGGTGGTTGTGGTGGTGGTGGTAGAGATGGTGATGGTGGTTGTGGTGGTGGTAGAGATGGTGATGGTGGTTGTGGTGGTGGTAGAGATGGTGATGGTGGTTGTGGTGGTGGTAGAGATGGTGATGGTGGTTGTGGTGGTGGTAGAGATGGTGATGGTGGTTGTGGTGGTGGTAGAGATGGGATGGTGGTTGTGGTGGTGGTAGAGATGGTGATGGTGGTTGTGGTGGTGGTAGAGATGGTGATGGTGGTTGTGGTGGTGGTAGAGATGGTGATGGTGGTTGTGGTGGTG